CGCCCTCTAGATTGAAATTGGGTTGCAAAGGCAGCAATGTGAATGTTCTTCTATACTTATTATGATTGTTTTGAAGTCCGTCTGTCCACATTTGTGGTGTCTGTTTGGACTCTACAGATGATCACAAAGCAGAGACATAACAGTATCCAACTTGGAGCTTATTCCCACATCTGCCTTTTCAAGTGGTGGTTTTCAAAGGATAATGAACAAGTTCAGCAGTTTCTCAGTATACTGTATTTAGGAATGATAAAATGCGTCCTGATAATTTTTTTTTAGATTGTGTTTAGTGTTTTGTTATATGTACTTTATCTGGATAGGATCCTGCATTGGGAATCATTTCTCATATTCAGATTGAAAGCATTGTAGAAATCCCATTAATTTGTCTTAATCAGTAATAAACTTTTATAACATATTCACTAGAGTTCTGCTATTTAATATAGATGGCGATTCACAAAAAATATCTCCGCCTTTGTCCAGGAGACAATGTCATGTTTCTCTTTAGAGCTTGATTTGGTGAAGAGCACCCTCTTGTGGTATCATTCTGTGTAGTTCAGTAAACTAGTGATGGGAAGACTCGTTTATGCCAATAGGTTGTTTCAAAAAGTTCTTTTCAAAGAACATGTTAACAAAAAGTTTAAGTGATTCTGACAAACACCGTTACAGTGAATGTCTGCAGTAATTTTTTCTTTTCAATTTGTATTTTTTAAGTGCTCCACAGTAGAAAGAAATGCAATCAGTTTTCGTTTGACACGAGGGTAAATGACAATTTTTCACAACTATCACACACCTAAAACAAATTGTAATAAAATAAAAATACATTCATGCATATCAAAACAAGTAGTGCAGTATTTATATTTAAAGAAAGATCTCAAACTCACTTAAAGCAATAAAAAAAAAAAAGTTAATAAATAGAAACAGGACTTACTTTGCTAGCCCTTGTAGTTCTAGATTTGTCAGAATTAACTCCGAACAGTGCGCTTCAACAGTGGAACATTGAAACTTGTAGCCTATATGTTGTTGAAGGAATAGAAAATCATGCTGAAAACTAAGCAGATTTAATGAGTAGACCATTTCAATATGATGTGGTTTATGTAAATTATGTATAGTAATTAGGGCTGTCAGTCGATTAAAATTTTTAATTGATTAATTACTGGGTGCTAAACTAAATTTCGCTGTGAAAATACCCACAAAGGATAAGCCCTAATAGTAATATTTTAAATGGAGGCTACAGAAAACAGTGGGTTCAGTGTTTAATAAAAAATAAAAATAAAACATTTTTTATATATAAATTAAGTAAAATTGAGAAAGGAGGGAATAACCAATGCTCTTATCCTGGCAAGCTGAAAACTGGGCTGATGATTTCTCTGTGTTCAGGTGTAGTCAGGTCTGTTTTTCACACTTTAAAAAAAAACTATTTTAGTATTTTTTTTATTTGTTTATTTTTTTTCTTGTGGAGGTATCTGACACACATATACATTGTCCCGTTGAAGGAAAAGACAAAATCAAGGTAATGCTGGACAGGTTTGGTGACTGCTTCTTTCTGTTGTTTGAAATATAGGGTAGAGTAGGGGAAAACGCCCCCCTTAAGATCTGTGTAGTTTATTTCTGTGAAACAAAAGTTGAATGCATTCAGAAAAGTTATCATAGTTTTAGTGACAATGACATAAATTAGAAATAAAATTTGAAAAATGTCCAGAGTTTTCATGTTATTAGATTTTTAATAACATTATCTAATAACCCCCACAGTCTGACAAAGCTATTTGCTTTAAACATTTACAGCAAAATCAGAGTACAGTCAGTTTTTAGCTTAAAATTAAAAAGAATATAATCAATAATTATGAATTACAAAATTATAATAGCCTGTTTGAAACATTTTGTTAGCTGATGCTAACTGGCTAGCTAACTAATGCTAACTTGAGTGAAGTGGCCAAGTATGGTGACCCATACTTGGAATTAGTGCTCTGCATTTATCCCATCCAAAGTGCACACACACAGCAGTGAACACATACACACCGTGAACACACACCCGGAGCAGTGGGCAGCCATTTTTTGCTGCGGTGCCCGGGGAGCAGTTGGGGGTTCAGTGCCTTGCTCAAGGGCACCTCAGTCGTGGTATTGAAGGTGGGAGAGAGCGCTGTACATTCCCTCCCCCCACCTACAATCCCTGCCGGTACGAGACCAAAAAATATCTCCGCCTTTGTCCAGGAGACAATGTCATGTTTCTCTTTAGAGCTTGATTTGGTGAAGAGCACCCTCTTGTGGTATCATTCTGTGTAGTTCAGTAAACTAGTGATGGGAAGACTCGTTTATGCCAATAGGTTGTTTCAAAAAGTTCTTTTCAAAGAACATGTTAACAAAAAGTTTAAGTGATTCTGACAAACACCGTTACAGTGAATGTCTGCAGTAATTTTTTCTTTTCAATTTGTATTTTTTAAGTGCTCCACAGTAGAAAGAAATGCAATCAGTTTTCGTTTGACACGAGGGTAAATGACAATTTTTCACAACTATCACACACCTAAAACAAATTGTAATAAAATAAAAATACATTCATGCATATCAAAACAAGTAGTGCAGTATTTATATTTAAAGAAAGATCTCAAACTCACTTAAAGCAATAAAAAAAAAAAAGTTAATAAATAGAAACAGGACTTACTTTGCTAGCCCTTGTAGTTCTAGATTTGTCAGAATTAACTCCGAACAGTGCGCTTCAACAGTGGAACATTGAAACTTGTAGCCTATATGTTGTTGAAGGAATAGAAAATCATGCTGAAAACTAAGCAGATTTAATGAGTAGACCATTTCAATATGATGTGGTTTATGTAAATTATGTATAGTAATTAGGGCTGTCAGTCGATTAAAATTTTTAATTGATTAATTACTGGGTGCTAAACTAAATTTCGCTGTGAAAATACCCACAAAGGATAAGCCCTATTTTAAATGTTTTAAATGGAGGCTACAGAAAACAGTGGGTTCAGTGTTTAATAAAAAATAAAAATAAAATATATAAATTATATAAATTAAGTAAAATTGAGAAAGGAGGGAATAACCAATGCTCTTATCCTGGCAAGCTGAAAACTGGGCTGATGATTTCTCTGTGTTCAGGTGTAGTCAGGTCTGTTTTTCACACTTTAAAAAAAAACTATTTTAGTATTTTTTTTATTTGTTTATTTTTTTTCTTGTGGAGGTATCTGACACACATATACATTGTCCCGTTGAAGGAAAAGACAAAATCAAGGTAATGCTGGACAGGTTTGGTGACTGCTTCTTTCTGTTGTTTGAAATATAGGGTAGAGTGGGGGAAAACGCCCCCCTTAAGATCTGTGTAGTTTATTTCTGTGAAACAAAAGTTGAATGCATTCAGAAAAGTTATCATAGTTTTAGTGACAATGACATAAATTAGAAATAAAATTTGAAAAATGTCCAGAGTTTTCATGTTATTAGATTTTTAATAACATTATCTAATAACCCCCACAGTCTGACAAAGCTATTTGCTTTAAACATTTACAGCAAAATCAGAGTACAGTCAGTTTTTAGCTTAAAATTAAAAAGAATATAATCAATAATTATGAATTACAAAATTATAATAGCCTGTTTGAAACATTTTGTTAGCTGATGCTAACTGGCTAGCTAACTAATGCTAACTTGAGTGAAGTGGCCAAGTATGGTGACCCATACTTGGAATTAGTGCTCTGCATTTATCCCATCCAAAGTGCACACACACAGCAGTGAACACATACACACCGTGAACACACACCCGGAGCAGTGGGCAGCCATTTTTTGCTGCGGTGCCCGGGGAGCAGTTGGGGGTTCAGTGCCTTGCTCAAGGGCACCTCAGTCGTGGTATTGAAGGTGGGAGAGAGCGCTGTACATTCACTCCCCCCACCTACAATCCCTGCCGGTATGAGACTCGAACCCACAACCTTTGGGTTACGAGTCCGACTCTCTAACCATTAGGCCACGACTTCCCCAAAGGTCATTTGAGGTCATTTTTAAATAGAAAATCCAATCTTGATTAAATCTTGATTTAATCTTGTGGTTATTTTGGGAAAAACAGTGGGCGGGGGGGGCGTTTCCCCCCACTCTACCCTAACCTAAAAAAGTTTGAATAGAGGAGAAAACATATTGCATAGTTAAAGGGGTCATATGATGCAATTTCAAGTTTTCCTTTCTCTTTGGAGTGTTACAAGCTCTTGGTGCATAAAGAAGATCTGTAACACCCCTCACCCCAACACGGACACACACAGCACCCCCAACCGAAAACATCTTCCCGCGCCCCTGTAATAGCTACTGTAACAAAGAACCACACAGCGCTAAAAAAAAACTCAAGAGTTTGTGAGTGATGGGAAACCTGTTTTGTTCATTATAAACTGGACATGTAGCCTAATTCAAATGCAAGGAGTGACTAATCGTACCCTACGGTTTTACCCATTTACGTCTCTGTTTTACCTTTATACTGATGTTTATGACAAACAAGTGCTTTTTATCCATTTATATTTGCAGCTGATACATAAAAGGGAGCAAGTGAAGTTGCGGATCATAGCGTAGTGGGGCAAACAATTTGTTATTATCAATCACAACTGACCACTCAATCAAGATTTTACAATAAAAAAATAATAATAATAATTTATACATTTCTGATCCAGGCCATAATTCACTAGTTGTAGGGCCTGATATTTTAGCAAAACTGCATTTTCTCTACACTAAAAGCAGAGAAAAAAATGCTCATCAAGCATAAAGTAAAGTTTTCGCTCCATCAGTCAAAATTCTCAATTCAAGTCTGTCAGCTAAACCAATTTATTGAAAAGATTCGATAAAAAAACACACACACACACACACACCGCGAAAGAACAACAGAAACTTTATAAATATAGTCAGTGTGAGTGTTTTGTTTCATTTTAATTACACCAAAAACCGTTATTGATGCAAATGTTGTAAAATATTATTTATGAACGTATATGATATGACTTTTATATGAAACCATTAGCGGACATGACGTCAATTTCAACATGGCGACGCACACATGCTCCTGTGTGTACATATAACGCTTTACCGTAACCTTGCAACTGTCAACTGCTGGTTTGCGAAACTGATTAGTATAATGAATATAATTTGGACGCGTAATTGTGAAAAATGTCACTACTGTCTCGACTGAAGTTATCGTGAAATAATAGAATGACTCCTCTGACTACTGCGTGCTTATGTTAATCGAGGAGTGACGGTTTTGTGTTTGCTAGCTGTTAAAGATAGTTTGGGTCTTTCACGAAACCTTACATTAAAGGATGTGGAACCTAAACTATTTAAAATTCATAGATCAGGGACGTCTGCTGTCTCAAAGACTTTGTAGCAACTGCATCGCACGTCTTCGTCAATGTGACGGCAGTCCTAGAAGAGGCTTATTTCTGTTAAGCAGGAATAAATCTTTTGTAACTCAAATACAATCTGCTTCAAAATCACCCTGGAGAGTTTTGTTCTTTGGAAGTGATGATTTTGCATTGGAATCATTGAAACGGCTTCATGTTTCTCGGTAATGATATCCAGTTTGTTATTGCATTACTATCTGTGCTAATAAACATACTGCACTTTTCATGCGACTAGTTTGCTTTTCATTTTGTAGAGATGACACAAAAGCTGGAGTCATAGGTTCACTTGAGGTTGTGACGCTGTCCAGAGATGCTCCAGTCAGAAAGTATGCAGAGCAGCACAGACTTCCTCTTCACCACTGGCCAGATGTGGACTTAAGTGCACAGTTTGATGTTGGTGTGGTGGTGTCATTTGGCTGTTTAATCAAGGAGAACATCATCAACAAAATGCCATAGTAAGTAATTAGAATTCAGGGAAAAGCATGACTGATGCAATGACTGGATGGGTCCTGTACCATTTGTGTCTGTAGTCATTGTGTGCTTTTTGAAATGTTTTACCATGCCCTCAGCCCATTATAGACCATAATTTGTTTGTTTTTTTGTCTCTCAGCGGGATCCTGAATGTGCACCCTAGTCTGTTGCCACGCTGGCGGGGTCCTGCTCCAATCTTTCATACGATTCTACATGGTGACAGTGTCACAGGAGTGACTATCATGCAAATAAGACCTAAAAGGTAAATGAAATGTTAATGGCAGGATCAATATGAAAGTCACATGAAAGATATTTCTGTGTAATTCTCTTTCAATTATCAAGTCTTTTATTTTTAAGGTTTGTATTTTATATTGTAGATTTGATGTGGGCCCCATTCTTCAGCAAGAGCTGTACGAGGTTCCAAAGAACTGCACTGCTGATGAGCTCGGGGCCACTTTAGCAGTTGTGGGTTCAAAAATGGTGACTTACCCCCTCCTCTTAACATATTTTACACCTGTAATCAAAAGTTTCTTGTGTATATCATTTGTAGAAATTCTGGGTGAATTTTTTATTTTATTTTTTTTACATTTTAGCCTATGGTGATTCCTTATCATTTATACATTTAGTAGAAACTTTTAAGCAAAGACACTTCTGTTCAAAAGTTGGGTGCAGTAAGATTAAAAAAAAGAAAATAATACTAATACTGAGCAGACAATAAATTGTACAAAAGTGACAGTAAAGACATTTATACCGTTAACTTTTTTTTCTCGATAAATGCTATTCTGAACTTTCTCTTCATCAAAAAATCATGAAAAAACTATAAATTTCCACAATAATATTAAGCAGCACACCGGGGGCCCGTTCTTCGTACTTCGCTTATTACATCCGAGATGAAATGTCACATCCAAGATCAGCAATGCAGCGATTGGCTGGCGGCAAGACAGCAACGTAATGACGTCATATAATTAAAAAAAAAAACTGACGAAAAACTTGACAAATTTCTGGACTTTTATAAGGACACAGCCAAGCGAACAAAACTACATAAATGTTATAATAGATAAATGAAATGTGCACTGTTTTTATTTTATTTTAATTTTTTACATGATTCCCAGTTATTTAAATTCACGATTTCTAGTATTTGTACACGCTTTAAATTTTTATTTCAATGTTGTAATTTCGCAGTTCATTTAATTTTATCTTTGAAATGCGATTTGTTACGTGACAGCATTAATTAAAGTTTCTTAAGAGTCAAGATCATGTTATCTGCATCTCCTGAGCTCCATCAAGCCACTCCCATAACATCTGTCACCACTCAAATTAACGCACGACTCTACATTATCTGTATAGCATGTGTGTAAGACTCGAATACAATTATGAAGCAATAATTTTATGACGAATAAATCTTTCAGTGAGTAAAACTGGCTGTCTATAGTATTAAAGACTACACAACATTATTATCACCACTCAAATTAATGCACGACTCAGATTAACTGTAACAATTATAAATTTTTTTTATCATGAATAAATCTTTCAATGAGTAAAACTGGCTGTGTCTATAGTATTATAGACTACACAACATTATTATATATATATTTTCAATTAATTTTTAAATGATTATTGTTTTAAATTATTGTCCCTGGATCAGTAGGGTAGTCTTGTAATAAAGTAGCAGTGGCTGGGACAGATTTTAAGTGTCAATTCTGCTTAAAAAGATGCGATCTATTCCTGTTTACATAAAATAAGCCTGCTCCCGAGCAGGTTTAAGCTTACGGACCTGTTGCTATGACAGCAACTCCGGGATGAGCTTCGAAGAACCAACCAATCCAAGATCATGCCAAATCATCAACAATCAAATCCAGCTAACTGAGTTAGCGACGTACGAAGAACGGGCCCCTGTTTTCAACATTGATAATAATAATAAATGTTTCTAGAAAACCAAATCAGCATATTAGAAGGATTCCTGAAGGATCATGTGTCACTGAAGAGTGGAGTAATGACTGCGGAAAATTCAGCTTTGCCATCACAGAAATTATCATATTTTTAAAAATATATTAAAATAGAAAAGTCATTTTAAATTGTAATAATATTTCACAATATTACTGTTTTTACTGTTTTGTTTTTTTTTTTAAATAAAAAATGCAATCTTGGCAAGCAAAAGAGACTTTTTTCAAAAGCATTTAAAAATCTTCTTGAACTTTTGAATGGTAATGTACATTGCATTCATGAAATACACTTCCTCGATTCTTGCATTCCCTTAAAAACAAACCCATGACCTTGGTGTTGCTAGTGCCATGCTCTACTGTTTGAACTACAGTAATACTCCATAATATTACAGCAACACTTTGAGCTACAGGAACGATTAATTTATTTATAAATTAATTGTCAATGGATTTGCTTATGCACTACACGTTAACACTATCTGGCATGAAATCAAAAGTTTCATTCACTTGAGTTGTTTTAAAACTTCTGTCTCATTGTTAAATCAACAGTTGATGGACACTCTAAAACATCTACCAGAAAGGATAGCAAGCAGAAAGGAGCAGCCTAAGGAGGGAGCATCATTTGGTAAGTGTGTTCTTTAGGTAATGACCAAAACACAAGAGTAGGCCTGTCGCAATAATCAATATATTGACTTATCGCGCAATATATGTTCATGACCTCAATCATTTTTGGTGACGCAATATATCGCCCATTATATTTACTTAAAAATTTATGTCACCATGTTTTCTATATTCCACTTGCGCCTGTGTCTTTTGCAGCTTCTCGTACATAACGTGGTGTAGTCATGAGGTGCTAGTTTAAATTTAAAAAGTGCTTCTACAAAAAAAGTTTCATCTGCAGATATGGCCTTGTTTAGGGATCTGTGCCTTTGTGCATACGGACATCTGACTGCTCTGTGTCTTTTGCAGCTTCTCTTACATAACTTGGTGTAGTCATATTGCTAGTTCAAATTTTAAAAAATGCTTCTACAAAAAAAGTTTCATCTGCAGATATGGCCTTGTTTAGGGATCTGTGCCTTTGTGCATACGGACATCTGACTGCTAAGTAGTGATTGTGTTTCTCAGCAATAGTGTGCACCCTTAATTTACATAGAAAAGATGGTCAGGGAAAAATCTGTAGATGTAAGAATCTCCATACAAGTTCTTTGTGCATTTTTCTTTTTTTCTACTTGTTACTTTGCACTTTTTGTTAGAAAATGTTTATTTACTATTTATTTAGGTTTTTTAAGGTATCTAATATTTTGATACTTAATTTGCATGATCTAAATATTCTTAAAAATTAAAAGTTTGATGTCATTTGGAAGTGTGTAGGCCTTCTTGCATTATTATGCTGTTACATTATGATTATATATTCAGTGGCATAAAATGGTCTTTAAAATGACAATAATATCGCTTATCGCAATTATTTCTGGGGCAATATATCGCACAACAAATAGTTGTTATCGTGACAGGCCTACACAAGAGTCAGCAAATTCTGAAGAAATGAAGCGAGAATAATGTAAAAACAGACGAACTACATTTAATACAACATCTACATTACTGCCTTCAGCCCCTAAAATCAGTTCTAGAATGGCCTGGATAATATGGGAAGAGCACAGCTGTGACTACATTGATCGATTGTTTCGAGCTATTGGATCTCGGGTAGGAATAAAGAGATCCTACGAAATGTACATTTACATCAGTTATGCTTTAAACAACATTAAACACAGTGTTTGTTTTTTCTCAATCAGATTCCTTTGAAAACAATGTGGATGGACAATCCCATCAAACTCCTGGACTTTGTTGGCAAATGCAATGTGTCGTTTACAGGTAAACAGAGTTGGTTAGTTGGTGATTTTATGGTATTGGCTGTGACTGATTGACTAAGGGCATCTTCATACCTTGCTAATGACCCAATGAACCAAGCTGTATCATAGTTCACAATGGGAAATGTGTTACATAAAAAGCAGCAGTGTCTTAATTTTGTGGGTGCACAAATTACTTATCACACTTGAAAACCAAAGAGCTTTATCTAAGACACTGTCTTCATCTAAAAAATGTCACAGTTTTTTTTCTGAAACAGGTGCATTGCAATCTTAATCATTTATCTTGATGGATGATCCCAGATAGGACAGTTTTATGCACATGCGACTTGCAAAAACAGATTGTGGGTACACTGTGAAATGTTGCATTCTGAAAGTGTACTGAACCAAGGAAATAATGCAACATTGTAACGTTTTAGGTCCCTGTTTCGGAACAAAGCAAACATTCTGCAATCTGCAGGTCTGAAAGTGTCCTAACTACGTTTGTCCACTGGAAAAAGTGATCTCACTTTCATGTTTCTTTGCAGCTGCTCCTTATTTATCTTCAGTGCCAGGGTCTGTCCATTATCAGAAAGAATCCAATACTCTACTCGTCCGCTGCAAGGTATGCACATGGAGTTAAGAAATGTTAAAACATACACAAGTCCATTAGCACAGATGAAAAATGCTCAATAACAATCAAACTGCTAGAGGCCTGCCACTTTGTTGGTGTGGATGTACAATGTACAGCGAAGTTTTCCCTTTCAGCTATTCCCATCTTTTTAATGATCACAGTACTCGCTCTGATCTGCTGTCAATCCTCTGCTCTCCAGTTTCTATAGAAAATTAATCTGAAAGCACCACTTATGATGCACTCACTTTGTCCGTATTTTAGTATAGCACTGTAATAGAATTTATATACTGTCATAATATTTATCAATACTTTGCATTAGCTTTTATATTTTTTTGTTTTATTTTAAGTTTTAGAAATAATGTGCTTTTCATTTGTATTCTTTTTTAATATTGCTATTTAACCTTTTATTTCAAGTTTTCAGTTAGTTGCCAAGGCAACATTTCATTCAAGTTTTTCATAAAATATTTGAATTTTATTTCAGCCTAATTTCTATCAACAAAAATGATTTTAATGGTTTTAGCTTTAGTTTACTAAAACAATGTGTGTACCGGATGTACTTTATATTATGCTGTATTTCATATTTCAGTTCTAAATTGTATCAGTGTTGATATCAGAAGAACAGTGTTGTTTTTAACATTTGCTGCACAGTTAACATTATGTAACAATTTGCGTTCAGTATAGTTCATGTTGTCTTTCGTTACTTTTTTCTTTTTTTTATTGTTTTTTTAGGATGGATGGGTTGGATTCAAAGCAGTGAATTTCAAGAAAAGGCTGTCAGCATCAGATTTCTTTAATGGTTATCTCCATCAGAGCATGCTGAAGAAATCTCCCTCCACAAACACCTGTCTGTTCCAGAGTTATAAAGAGACTCATTTACCTGGAGGACACAACAATAACATGCTACTGCGGAATAACACTTCGTTTTGAAACCTGACTTTATCACAATCATGAATAATAACATATAATCACATAAACTGTCATGTCATTGAAAACATTTAGTCTGTTTTAAGACAATGTTTTATTTAATAATGGACTGTATGTTTGCAGATCTCTGCACATTTGTATAGCCGTGACATGAATGAATGTGAATGCAATAAAATTATTTTGGAGATGTTAATTTAAATGGTTGTTCTGTTTGATTTAGAATTACTGACCAGCTACACACGAATTCATCATGATTATTTGTTTTTGATCTAAAATATTACCAAGAGTTTTATCAAGAGAAAGCGCTTTTTAATACTCCAAATATTGAGGCGAAGTGAGTCCCGCTGCTGCCACGTAAGTCCCGCCCTGTTATCACCTCATTCGTTAGTCGCGGCTGTCTGTCTGCAAATCCTGCTCTCTCATTGGCTGAAAGCAATGTTTAATTTGCGTCCGATGTAAGGTTTGGTTTCATTTACAACCTGTCAAATCCGAGGACAGCTGCGAAACAGTCAACACCGCCTCGCATATCACGTAGTAAGTCATCACTAGAAAATGCCGTATATGTCCGTATTTTTGCATGAAACCAAAGAGCTTTAATATTGCCCAAACTAAGTTTAATTAGCTTCCGTTGTCATTCAGTTCTCATAATAGCTGAAGAAAAGTGTATTGTTTACGTTGAGCTAACGAATAGCCGTATTGCTAGCTAGCGAGCCTACACAACCACCTCACGACTTCTCTTAAATATTTATAAATGGAAAGCGGCAAGAAATTAAATGAATTCTATTTATTCCCCGTTGTACTGTTTAGGGTTTCATTAGGCTTGTTTGTGTTGTTCTGTTCGTTTGCTCATGTTATAATTGGAAAGTCAGTGCAGTGTTCATTGGTATAGAGATTTAAAACTGTTGCCTAGTAACCTGATACGTAGATTGTGCTGTCACAGTTACACATGTGTAATACTATGTTTTTAGACATTAGTCAAACACGCTTTATGTGTAATGTAAAATGTCATAGACGTTGACTTTCCTCATAAACTGATCAACATACGTGTCAGCTTTAGTTATCAATAGTTGCATAGACAGTATATAACGTGTTCTGTGAGAATACAGCTAATGCATGGCGTATGGCCAAGTTGTGTTAGAAGTTCCTCGAGCAATTGAACAGGTGTAAATAGGGGATTTTAAGCGTCTAATACTTCTGAACTTCTAATACTTTGTGCAGCAGAAGGATAATCGAGTTAAGTATGGAACCAGCTTTACCCAAAATAGCATCTGTGCCAAGAATGGATTCAAACTGTGGTCAAAGGGAAATAACTGAATTGTTTACGTTTATTTGCTCTCAAAGAATTTGTCTTTATTTTATTTTATTTTTTTCAAGTATCTCTGATAAATGTCTTTGGAAAAGTGAACGCTTATAGTTTGGGGCTTACAGTGTTACAATCTAGATTTAAAACTGTTCTTCTCAGTCTTGTATTCTTGATATGAGGTTTCTCAAGCTTAAATCTAATTATTTTACAGGATAATTAAACTGTTCAGGCTTGCTACCACCTTCATTGTGTTGGTTGATTTATATATATATATATATAAAAATGACTTGGAAAGCAATAGTATGAGATCCATGGGGTGATTCTTCTTGTTTAGAGACTAAACAGAAACTATAACCTAAGTGAAGGTCATTTTATATAATTCAGTGTATATGTTTGTCAGTTAGCTGATGTGAAGGGTTGATTTTGCAGTGTGGTTGGTTACAGTGGCACAAATGTATTTTCAATCTCTGAGAACAGAGCTCTGTGGTTAGTCTGGACTGGAGAATTTGCTGACGCGAAGGCAGGAGCTGTAACATGAGTGCCAGCATGATAATTAAGCAAAATGACAGAAGCAGAAATGCTGTTGTTTTAAGTTTTCAAAAAAGGCTAGTTAGCTCATACATTTCTTTTCTGCCATTGAAAATAGTTTCATGAGAAACCAAAGCATCAAACTTTGGGTGTCACAAAGCAGTGAAAAACTGCAGATAAAACAAACAGATAATAATAAATATTATTAAATAAATTATTAGAAAATAGACAGATATTAGCACAGCCATGATAACCCGCATAACTCCACCTGAAGCTGAATCGCAGCTGTGCTGATATTCGTCTAGTTCACCCAAAAAATGTAAATTCTTTCATCAATTACTCACCATTATGTCGTTCAAAATCAAAAGACTTTTACTTATCTTCGAAACACAAATTAAAATTCATAAAGACATCATGAAAGTAATCCATATGAACTGAGCTGTTTAATCCAAGTTCAAAAAACAATGGCTTTATATAATAAACAGATTTAATTTAGTCTTTTTACTCGCATAAAAACAATGGTCCGTGCACATCCAACAACAACTTACCACTCTGCCCTGGTTAATTGGAAAGCCACAGGAAACCTTTTGCTTGAACCACGTTGGTTCTCGTGGAGGCTCAACCATACTTGCATGCCACTCAAGTACAAGTACAAACCACCTTGGCTCTTGCATGTCAAGCACATTTGAGCTAGGACTGAGCAATATTAAAGCAATAAGCCCCATTAAACACTGAACTTAGAACAACTAGGCACAACGCATTGATCCATGCATTAGTCCTTAAGATGACAGCAGCTTAATATACTTGCTGCTGTGTGTCCTTAATGTTAATCACAAAAGACAGAAAATATCACTCACTGCTCTTGACTGAAAATCTTTTGTAGTTTTTGTACAAATGACTTTATATTTAATTCATACAGTGAAGACTGTATGTAGTGTTTCATTGTTACATTTGACATTCAATTTCTGTGGTATTTCTTACTTGAATGCTACTGTTAAATAGACCTACTGTACTTGAACAATTTAAGGCACTTTTTTGTATATTGTATTCATTCTATTGTTTGTTATTTGCATCTTTTAGGGAAATGAATTTGGGAAATTAGGGAAGTTAATTTGTCTATACTGTTCTATAACTTACAAAATAGTTGAAAAAGAATTGTGAGAAGATTGTGATCCTGCCTGGGAAAAAAAAAAGATTTTTGCAATTCATTTTGCGATTTTTGGTATAAAAGAAAAATCAATAATTTTGACCCATACAATGTATTTTTGGCTATTGCTATACCCCAGTGACTTAAGACAGGTTTTGTGGTCCAGGGTCACAATTTATGTGTGCACTGACTGATTGGATCACTTATTGATTAAGCATGTTTGTTTGTTTGTTTTTGTAGGAAAGAAAATGCTTTTTTCATCCTTCAGTTCACTCTTTGAGGATCTTGTTAAGACACCTGGAGAAAGATCCTTTCTCATATAAACCGAAAAACATCAACCCTAGGAAGAATGAACTTGTTTTATCAGTCCATCACTTTACACCCTTCCTAATAACTATTTACCTGCACTTTGGCAGGCCTCATTCAGCCTCTCCTCTACCTCGCTAACTCACATTCACACGCTTCGCCAGTGACCCACCGCTGCTCCTGCAGGCTGGGTACGGAGCTGGTCTGGCCGCGTGCCCCTCCAGCTCTGTGTGTTTGTGTGAGATGGCGCGGCAGGAAGCAGAGGGTCGCTGCTGCTGTGGACTGTAATGTCAGAGCCCAGCAGCCCCGGCGAGAGCCAGTGCGGCGCTCCCAGATTCTTCGTGGGCTGCGCGGAGGATGAGAGCGAAGGCCTGGACGACTACGCCAGCATGAGGACAGACATGGAGCTGTACGAAGACGATCTGGAGGATGACTCGGTATGAATGGTGTGCAGTTTGATTGAGTGTCTGGTCTAATAGAGGGATTTTGCACAAAGTCCTTCAAAAACTTGGAGATTTAGTCATTAGAGAACAGAAGCATGTAAAAAAAAAAAAAAAGTTTTTAGCAACCATTGCTCCAGTCTTCAGTGTCACATAAGTGTCACAGAAATCATTCTAATATGCTGATTCGGTGCTCAAGAAACATTTCTTACTATTATCAATATTGAAAACAGTTGTGCTGCTTAATATTTTTGTAGAAATTGATGTTTTTTCAGGATTCTTTGAAGAATAGAAAGTTTAAAAGAACAGCATTAATTTAACATAGAAATCTTTTGTAACATTATAAATGTCTTTACTCTCACTTTTAATCAATTTAATGCATCCTTGCTAAATTAAAGTATTAATTTCCTAAACAAAAAAATTGTACTTTTGAATAGTAGTGTAGAACTACTTCCTTTTACTTTTTATCACAAATCATTACTAATTTGAAAATGTCCAGTGGCGAAGTGCTGTGCAACAGTAATGCAGTCATCAAAAGTGCTTCATGGCCAATTACAGAGTTAATCAATACACTTGGAATGTCAAACAGCCTGATTTTAAAAAATAAACAATGCCTTGGCTTAACCTTTTTAATATTTTAGATTTTGGTATAATTCAGTAGGCCTGTCACGATAACAACTTTTTGTTGTGCGATATATTGCCCCAGAAATAATTGCGATAAGCGATATTATTGTCATATTAAAGACCATTTTATGCCACTGAATATATAATCATAATGTAACAGCATAATACGTTATGTACAAGAAGCTGCAAAAGACACAGGCACAAGTGGAATGTACAAAACATGGTGACATAAATTTTTAAGTAAATATAATGGGCGATATATTGCGTCACCAAAAATGATTGAGGTCATGTATATATATTGCGCGATAAGTCGATATATTGATTATTGCGACAGGCTTATAATTCTGGGCTGTTTTCTTAATGCAGTATGTCTCAGGTCGTTCCTGGGATGCTCCAGAAATTTTTGAAAACCCCTGAAGTGTTCTTTTCAACATCTGTACACATAAGTATGGCCACTCATATGCAGTATTGCTGCTGAGTTTGACATGTTTAGGTAGATACCGATATGTCTTATTTAAATTCTTGCTTTTTCTCTTAAGCCTCCAGAGCGTCAGATCGTGGTGGGGATTTGCTGTATGATGAAGAAATCCAAGTCCAAACCCATGACTCAGATCTTGGAGCGTCTTTGCAAGTTTGAGTACATCACAGTGGTCATCTTTCCAGAGGACGTCATACTCAATGAGCCGGTGGAGAAGTGGCCACTCTGTGACTGCCTGATCTCATTTCACTCTAAAGGTTTGTCATGTGCTTGTGTCCTTTTGAGCTGCTTGTAGATCGGGTTTCTCCATCGAAGTCTTAACCGTAAAATAAGTCAATAAAATCAAGAAGCAGCTTTATGG